CACAGGATCTTCAGCATATTGGTTCTAGTGGTGGTGTGTGAATGGTCATATTTAGTTCACATAACATTGAGATGGTACTCGGTGTGAAGGTGATTTGAATGTCACAGGCTAACTGTTACTGGATGAGAGTATGAAAGAGCCTTTGGAATATGTAGTGTTGACTTTAAGACCCCTGAAAACTTTAACATTCAGTATTCATGAAGTTAAAATACAGTAAAAACATCTTTAGATATTAGGCCTGGGTAATAAAACAGTAGCAATATATATCACTATTGTTTTATCAACAGCAATAGTTTCACTTAAATGCATTAAATAGAAATCACACTAACAGAATACGGCATAGATAGATATATAGAACATATCATATCTCTTAATAATGGAGCTTACTGATCAGTCATGAATTACATCATTCCATCCTTAGTCATTGAAAGTGTTACACTGGTCCAGCTTTACTGTTAGTACATGACTTTAATCCCACATACACACTCTGTGCTGGTTTAACTGCTTGTACAGAGGAATCACAGCAGAATTAGCTGTCATTATAGTCATGCTACAGGCTGGGATCAGAGCTTGAGCTACTATTTCATGGATCGTCACACATACACTAAAGAATCCTGTTCGACACACCGCTTTAGAAATAAGGACTTAATGACTTGGATTATAATTGCAGTTTACACAGTGGCTGGCAAATGAGTAGAGGTAGTAGAGATAAATAAGAGACAAATCATTTCATTTGTACACAATAGATTGCTATTTTACAAATAAGGTCATTGTTGTCTTTTCCTTCCAGTATAAACAATGCTCATCCCTGACCATTGCTTCCTGATGTAGTAACCATTATCCCCATAATCGATTCCCTTCAGTGTCCTCAACACTTTGTAAAAGCTGCAATAAAAGCTGCCCTAAGGAGCTGTTAACTCACCAACAATAATGTCATTACTGTGGCTTTTAGTGGACAGTTTTAGTGTCCCATGAAGCTTTGAAGGCTTCTTTTAAGGAAGAGGAATTTTGATTTCGAAGCTGAATCAATCTTTCTGTTGATGTGGGATGATGAGTCTATAAGTCACATCTGCTCCAAGTCATTCACTCCCAATTCTTCACACTCTCAACTCTCTCACACACTGAGTCACACACACACTCCCTTCACGCTCAGCCTCGTCACCGTGATGTCACCATGTCCTCTAACTTTCCATCCCGCAAAAAAAAACAATAAGAATAGCGTTGCTACGGAGACAGAGCCGGCACGTTGTTTCATTGTCGTGACGTTAGCCAGGCTGGCCGAAGGATCAGCCAATTGCGAGTGGACAAGCAGGCGTTATTAAAAGCAAAGCTGCTATTTTTGGGACTGGCCGCGGCGTTACTCAGCAGAGTGCAGCAAAGTCAGACATATACATTCCAACGGTGTGTGTGTGTGTGTGT